CCGCCTGCCTCTGCCTCCCAAGTGCTGGAATTAAAGGCTTGCGCCACCAACGCCCGGCTAAAATAATCTTTTAAGAAATAAAAGAGGGTATGGAGAGATGGCTTAGCAGTTAAGAGCACTGACTATTCTTGCAGAAGACCCAGGTTCAATTCCCAGCACCCATATGGCAGTTTAAAACTTTCTTAACTCCAGTTCCAGGGAATCTAACAGCCTTACAGACATACATGCAGGCAAAACACAATTCACATGAAATAAAAATAAATATTAAAACTAATAATAATAATATTAAAAAGATCCTCCTGCCCAGGTGAATAGTTCACCGGATATAATAAATGAATATGTAGAAGATACTCAAATTTTAACTCTAGATAATTGAGAGAATGATGTTCCTACTTATAAAATGTAAAGTCAGGAATGGAGTCTGACTTGGGGACGTGAGGAGTGATTTTCACTCACTGTATTTCAGGTTCTGGTACAGTGTCCAAAGAAAGGTATACATACAAAAGGATTGGAGATTTAGGAGCTTATAGAGCTGAATCTGCATGATATGCACATCAAATGCAGGGAACAGAACAGTCTTCTAGGAAGCATAACAGAACGAGAAAACACCGTCTCCCCACTCAGATACAAACTCCTAAAGAAAGGCTCACTAACCTCTGATTGGTCAGTTGTTGTGTTTAATCAATTTGTGTCGAATATGTGGAAAGTAAGAACCACAGACTAATAAGATTCTCTTCCACAGGATGAGGATGAAGAGGTCTACAAGAGAGATTTTAGTGCACCTACTCTTGAGGACCATTTCAACAAAACCATTCTTCCAAAAGTCATGCAGGTATGAGGATTCTCAGTAACAGAAAACAGACAGGGGGCTGCTGAGCAGGGCATGCTTGTCTGGTGCTATAATCATCCCTCCTTCTTTCAGGTCAAGAATTTTGGACGGTCTGGTCGTACCAAGTACACCCACCTTGTAGATCAAGATACAACTTCCTTTGACTCTGCATGGGGCCAAGAGAGTGCCCAGAACACAAAGTTCTTTAAACAAAAGGCAGCTGGGGTACGTGATGTATTTGAGCGACCATCTGCCAAGAAGAGGAAAACCACCTAGGTTTCAACTACTTATTCCAACTCTGGGACACAAGGACATCTGGTCCTCAGTTTTCTTTACCCATTATTTACATAGTTCTTGTATAGAGCCTTCTGGACTTCCTGCCATAATGTGTGTTTGAAGGTGCTTTGTGAGAAGTTTGGAATCATCCTGAGAAACCCACAGAAAAGCACTAGCCAGGTAGGGTTAGAGGCTTTCCACTTTAAAACAGTTTCTGAGAAATCTTAGGTTTCTCTACCATGGCTTCCCATATTGACTTGGGACTATTCTGAGTTTATTTTTCCAGCATCTTAGCCTGGATCGGCTATGTGGGCATGTCAGTGGATGACGCAGTACTTCTTCCTTAGGGTCAAGAGCAGGAAATCTAAACTCAATCCAACATGTTTTTGCATTTGGAATGTTGAATCTACTTTTCTAAGTAAACATACTTTTTAATCCGTGTGTGTGTGTGTGTGTGTGTGTGTGTGTGTGTGTGTGTTTAAGGAGAGAGAGAATTACCACACACCAGAAGTGTAATCTGACACTCTTAACCCACTCAAAAGAGGCTGAGTATGGTGGCTCATGCCTTTAATCTCAGCACTGGAAGGTAGGGACCCATAAAGATCTCTTGTTCAAGGCCAGCCAGAGCTACATAGTAAAACCCCATCTCAAAAAGAAAAAAAAAAATCTAATACCTAAAATAAAGTATTGCTAGGCATGGTGACACATACCTGTAAGCCCAGTACTTGGAAAGTAGAAACAGGAAAATCAAGAATTTGGTCATCCAAGCAAGGCATGGTGGTTCATGCATTTTTAATCCCAGCACCCTGAAGGCAGGGGCAGGTGGATCTCTTGAGATTGAGGCCAGCCTGTTCTATAGAGTGAGTTTCAGGAAACCCTAGGCTACACAGAGAAACCCTGATTTAAAAAAAAAAAAAATTCAGTCATCCTAAACTACATAATTCAGGGCTTACCTGAACTATATGAGACTTTTTGTCTCAAAAATAAATAAAATATAGCAATGAAGTGGCCAAAGGTCTTTTTTCTCCCTCACAGTAGAATTTGAATCAAGGGCCTGTTATATGCTAGTCAACTGTTCTATCCTTTTGCTACATCTCGTGTGTGGGTATGGGTGTGGGTGTGGGTGTAGGTGTGGGTGTGTGTGGGTGTAGGTGTGTCACAAGGGTCTCACTAGGCTATCCAGGCAGACTTTGAACTTGAGATACTGGGCCTGCAAGATGTTTCACTTGGTTAGACCCCTGCCAACAAGTCTTAACAACCTGAATTTAATCTCATAGCCCCACATAGTGGAAGTATGGCAACCAGCAAGCTGCCAACTGACTTCTGTTCGTGTACTATGGAATGTATGTATTTGTGTGCACAGGAGATGTAGTTTTAAAAAGAAAAATGCTGAGCAAGTAATCCAAATCTGAGTTGAAGCTCAGTCTACATAACAGAGTTAGTTTGTCTCAAAAGAGAAAGAATGTAATGAATTTGGGATTCTTTTACCTCACCCTCTCAAGTGACTGAGATTACAGACATGAATCACCAAGCTTAAAACATTTGTACCCTGTCACCTTGCTGGGAATTAAGTCCAGGAATTTGCATGTGATAGGCAAGTACTCAACCAGATTATATGCCCAGCCCTAGCCAATTCATATTTTGGTCATCCTTTGATCTCAGAAACAAACTCAAATAGATGTTAGATGACCATTAAGTAGTACCCAATCTGTTTTATGAGCAAATTCGGATGTATTCGGCCAGGCGTTGGTGCTGCACGCCTTTAATCCCAGGACTCGGGAGGCAGAGGCAGAGGATCTCTGTGAGTTCGAGACCAGCCTGGTCTACCAGAGCTAAGTCCAGGACAGCCTCCAATGCCACAGAGAAACCCTGTCTCAACAAAACAAAAAAAACGCCCCCCCCCAAAAAAAATCAGATGTATTTGGTTGCCCTTGTTCTCTACATTGTAGCATTGTATAGATCAATGATATAAAATAGGACATGACTCATTGAGTCCAGTTCCTACTAATCTTTCTTATGCAGCTCATGTGTTGGGTGAAGAGAAAACCAATGTTCTGAGTAGCAACCTACAGCTGTAACTGCTAGACTTAAGCCCACTTGCCCATGTAATATTTACTGTGTAACCAACCACCATGCACAGAATGAATTTCATCAACTGAATAACTTTCCTTGGTTACAAAAAAAATGAGAAAAAAAAAAAAAGAGAAAGAGAAATGAAAAGAGGGGGATGAAGAGGTGGCTCAGTGATTAAGGGCACTTCCTATTCCAGAAGAATAGGAAGTTCTGTTCCCAACACCTATATCAGACAACTCACAAACTGCCTGTAATCCTAGCTCCAGAAACCTCTGGCCTTTGAGGACACCTGCACTCATTTACAGAGAAACACATACACATGATTTAAAAGTTTTTTTTGTTTGTTTGTTTTTTTTAAGACTGGGCCAGATAATACTCAACTGTAGCCCCAATTACTATAGTAGAGAGGCTGAAAGAGGGTCAGCTGACCCTGTTCAGGACAAGCCTGGACAATACAATGAAACTTGATCTCAAAAAACATAAATAACCCCCAGGTTAGAGGTGTAATTCATTAGAATGCTTGCTGTAGAATGGTTAAGGGCCCCAGGTTTTATTCTCAGCACTGTGTGTGTGTGTGTGTGTGTGTGTGTGTGTATGCATTCATGTTCTTAAAATAACCCCTACAAGACCCATTCATAAGCTGTTGATGAACTGCTTATATCCTACATAAAATTAAAAGTGTAATTAATTACTAAGAAATAATAAAGGTGAGCACTGAGCCAGATGGTGGCACAAAGAGGCAGAGACAGAAAAGTCACAAGTTCCAGTACAGCTTTATCTACACTGCACATGTATATGTTTATAGGTATCTAGTTGCTGCGTATACTTAATGTGGGTATGTGAAAACATTTTGGCATGTGTAACTCAGAGGACAGAACTGTCATTCCCACAGTCACCTTGGTGTTTTGGGACATGGCCTCCCAAAGCCTGAAGTTCCTAGCCAGGCGGTGGTACCGAATGCCTTAAATCCCAGCAGTTGGAAGGCAGGAAGATCTGAATTCGAGGTCAGCCTGGTCTACAGAGTGAGTTTCAGGACAGCCAAGAAACCATCCTGAAGCCGGAGGGGGTTGGGGGAGCCTGAAGTTCGTGATTAGACTAGGCTGACTGGCCAATGAGTTGTGAGGATCTGCCTGTTGCATGCACAAATCCTAGTGCTGGGGTTACAGGATCATGCCACCATTTTTGACTTGTTTTTTTTTTTTTTTGATTTTTCAAAACAGAGTTTCTCTCTGTAACTAGCCCTGTAGACCAGGCTGGCCCCAAACTAACAAGAGATCCTCCTGCCTTCCAAGTGCTGGGACTAAAGCACTAGCACCCAGCAGCTCCTGGATTTTTAAGGGAGTACTGGGGATTCAGATTCCTTGTGCTTCTGAGGCAAGTACATACTAAGCCATCTCTCCAGCTCTGACACATTTCTATGTTCTATATTCCCACATCCAGAACCTGAATTTTTACTCCAGTAGCCTATGAATGAGGTTGGTAACTTAAAAAACCCTAGTAGGAGCTAGTCCTTTGGTATTCATGAGCTAGCCTAGAGAGTTGGGAAAGGTGACTGAAATTGCAGCTCTCAAGTATTAAGTGAAGGCATCTGAGTTTGAGAACGCCCTGGGCTACACAGGAAGAACCTATCTGAAAAAAATAAAATGCACAAACTATCCTAGAAGCACATGTAGTTGGATCTTTTACAGAGGATACCAATGTACTCTATATTACCAAGAGCTAGTCAGATGAATGAGACTAGCATACCACCTAGAATGTTATTTAAGGCTGGTGAAAAGCTTTTTGGAAAAGGGCACTTGAGTTCGATTCCCACATGGTGGAAGTACAGTTGTCATCTGACATCAAGCACAATGTCAGGAAAATGCCCAGACGCATACACAAAATAAGCATAATAATAATAGAGCCTGTATTTAAACGTTAGGTACTTCTTTATATTGACTGTTCATAATTTCATGAAGGTCCAACATAGAAAATGACAACAAAAATATATAATGCATCTAATCTGAGATAAAACTGAAAAAAAAAAAAAGAACAGCATAATAAAACACTTTATTTCAGTAAATCAGTCCAGAATGTCTGAAAAAGCACATCATCAGTTGGTTAGGGCAATAAGAGCCTCCACAACGTTGCCCATGTGTTCCCGCAAGCTCCTTTCTGCTGCTGCTCGAGAGATCTCCATCTCTGTCATCTGCAAGGAAAGAGTAAATCATGTCACCGATGCCTCCTCTCAGGCATAAAAGTGTCAACTAATCCCTGACTCCACTTGTTAGGAACCCAAATTAAGTAGAATTTCTCTTGTGCATCCATCCAAGCATTACTACTCACTATCAACTCCAGATCTTCCTTCTTGATCGTGACCTTCGCCAGCTCCTTTTCCCTGTGAATATATGTGTATATATGCATCTGTCTTCATCCTCAACCTCTGCCATAAACTCCCAAAAGTAACATCCCAATTTCACACTGCAAACAGGTGGAATAAGGTTGACTGAAAATATTAAATAAATGTGCCCACCCCTCCCACTGGAGGCTTTCCTTCCCCTAAAAACAGTGTCACTACAACAAAGTTGTAAACCCTAGATCTACAGGAATTGGTTAAAAACTTGTTTTTTTTCTGGAGAATGAGGACCCCTTACGCTGACAGTGTGCTTTAAACTTACCGCTCCTGTTTTGCCTTTTGCTCCCTGGACCGTCTGTCTCCAATGACGGACATAGCCTGTAGGAAACACGAGTCTAGTTACCTACCACCATGAGACCCAAATTTTCCTATCTAAAACACAAAACCAAAAATAAAAACCACGCCGGGCGTTGGTGGCGCACGCCTTTAATCCCAGCACTCGGGAGGCAGAGGCAGGTGGATCTGTAAGTTCGAGACCAACCTGGTCTCCAGAGCGAGGGCCAGGATAGGCTCCAAAGCTACACAGAGAAACCCTGTCTCGAAAAACCAAATAAAATAAAAACCACGTGATTCTTCAAGTATTCACAATGACCAGTGTTCTCGGGACCAAAAGACCACACTTAATTCCCTGCACCTGAGATCCATTTAAGCCCAATCTCCATCACATTCTTAAGCAACTCGCGGACTGGGTGAGTGTTGTCGCTGATGCCCATCCTACTGCCTACTCCCACTATCGCGATCTGCCGGAGCAAACGGGTCAGTCTCAAATCACCCCTACCCCGTTCTCAAGCCCTCTCATACAAGCTCCCGGTCAACCTCACCGTCTCCAGATTCGAACTCTGGATCTCCTTCTCCTCCGCATAGTCAGTGACCCGCTCCAGGTCAGCAGCACCACTGTCATGCTTCCGTGGCTTTTCGGGAGGCCGCTCTGGGCCGCTGGTTTCGGTCTCTAACTCTAGTTCCACATCTCCCTCGGTCGCCATTTCGATCTCACCGCGCCGCCGCATACGCTGCCGCTTCACGACTTCCGGCAAACAGCTTCCGCCCAGATAGGGGCGGGGCAGGCTGTGAACCGCATCTTTGTGCCTGTCTTGAGAAGCTTCTGCTAGGAAGGCGGTTGGTTCGCTTTTGACCTCCTCTCAGGCTTGTGTTTTCTGCAGTCTCCTTCGACTAATCTGTTCACTACCCACACCACCTAAATGCACAGCCTCACTTCTTCACCGAAGAACAATCCTTTCATATCCCTTCACTCCTTCCCCTTCCCGCCCTCCCACAACACCCCCCCCCAAGGAATTCTGACCAACCAAGGCGGCCGATGGCTAAATCCTAAACCAATTTTAAAAACTAATCCCCAGATCAGATAGGCCAACTACTCCTAATCTCAGAAGACAGTCCAAATGATCCGGAATACGAAGCCCAGTGAAGGAATCTTCACAAAAGTATTTGCATTTACCACTTCCTAATGATCTGTATTCATTTTCTAACATGCCCATTCTACTACTTTAAGACTGAGTGACTAGCCCAGCACAGCGACTGCCCAATGGGCAAAATTCTTGAGAAGCTGCTGTTCCTCATCAGCTCTTCCAGTAACGGATCTATGCCTAACCTCTGGGCCAAAAATGATAGGAGCAAAAGCGGTGACAGCCCAGACCACCAGCCAGGGCCTTGCACAGCAGCACGGTGGAATCGGCGATGTCATAGTGAAAACCCCCTTTTATCAGGTGAGAGGGCATTGGAGGGGGCAGACTTGAAGATGCCCTTGGCTGGAAAAGAGTTGGGGAGGCAAACCCGGTTCTTTGCCTCAGTAGTCAGTAAACCTCTCATCCCACATTCCCATCCATATAGCCTTAGGGAAAAATAGGTGGTTCAAGCCTATACTAAGGTCTTACAATGAAAATCTTGCTAGTGTTTAGAAAAGGCAATCCTACGTAGCTCACCACAAGATGGTAGGATTGAGGATTTTGGGATTTTACCTTCGATTAACCCCACACAGTATACATCACCCTTGCAAAGCTTCACCTTTGCATCCTATGTCTGCTCTATCCTCAGTGTCTTGCTGTGTGTGGGCCTGTTTCTTTGACCAGCTCCCAACCACTCTAGGAGGCCCTCTCTCAGAGTCTTCTAGTAGCCTACTGCTCTATATCCTTCTCCATTTGGGGACCTCAGCAATCTGCCTCCTGCTATCTAGGACAGTGGTAGAAGGGGTCTGGGGCAAAGCATAAGGGGTAAGTTGGCAGGGGCTGCAAAGTGAGGAAAAGAAACCTGTAACATTTGGATTGAGAACAGGAAAGAAGTGTCAATCTACAAGTGAGACCTATCCATGCATTGTGACTTGTCCTACCTTTTCTCATAACCAAACTTTGCAGATCCAGATGCCCTCGGTGCTGTGTGCCCACCTATTTGGCAACTCAGAATGCCCAGTGCTCAGTGGCTCAGGGGCTGTGTATTGAGTATGTGCAGGAACTGCCACTTTCCACCTGCTGCAGGTTGTGCTGGCAGTCCGCCTCCTCTCTCCCACCTGCCCTCCTGCACAGCTGCATAACAGCTTTGTATGTAATTTTTGGATGGGGATGGGACAGAGGGAAGTAGACACAAGCTGGCTAAAGGAAACTCCAGGATGAAGAAAGAGCACTGTAGGACAGAAAACAGGTTTATAAATCCCTGGGCTCTAAATTGAAAATAACAATGATTATATGCAAACTTTCCTTAAAGTGTAGCATGTTGCTCAGATGTGACTTTTGGCATCTGAGTTAGAAATTGGACTACAATGGGACTTGGGGCTGGTTCCGCCTCCTCTGACCACCTACCATATTTTTTTTCTTCTTTCCCCATTGCCTTTTCTCAGTCTGGTTTTCTCTCTACTCCACTAGCTTCTGGAGCTTCAAGCTGGTGTTCCTGTTAGGTCTCTATACTGTTGCCTTCTGCATCCCTGATGAGCACCTCTTCCCAGATACTCATTTTACACCCTCATCACCAAGGATACAGCTTCCTACTTAATGACAGGAAGCTGGACATAATGCCACACATCTGTGATCCCAGCACTCAGGAGACTGGAGCAGGATTGAGAGTTTGAGACCTGCCTAGGCTGCTACTCAAGCTTCTAATCAAAAAGGGGGTGGAGGGATATACTGATACAATGTGACCAGCTAGAGCTAACAGTTCCCAATGGTGCCTATCTTGCAGCCTGGCATTACATCAGCATCTGTGGAGGCTTCACACTCATCCTATCACAGCTGGTGCTAATCACAGCCTTTGCCCACTCACGGAACAAGAATTGGTAAGGAGCATCTAACCCTAAAGGCTCCTCCCAAGGAGGTTGACAGGCATTACTAGATAGATACAGAAAGGCTGGGCAAAAGCCATATCAGCTATTGCTCCTTTGGCCTCCCAAGTTAATGGGAGGGTCAGAAGTTGAAGGCCAGAACAGGATCCACAATATCAAAACAAAACAAAGCCCACAAGCTGGGTGGAGAGTTCCAAGCCAGCCTCTTTTAAAACAAAACAAGAGCCGGGTGGTGGGGAGCCTTTAGTCCCAGCACTCGGGAGGCAGAGGCGGGCGGATCTCTTTGAGTTTGAGACCAGCCTGGTCTACAAGAGCTAGTTCCAGGACAGCCTCCAAAAGCCACAGAGAAACCCTGTCTCGAAAAACAAAAAGAAAAGAAAAAAAAAGAGAAACCCTGTCTCAAAAAAAAAAAAAAAAAAGAAAAGAAAAATGCAGGTAGTCAAGAATGGTGATGCCAGTGCTAATGCCAGCACTGGGGAGGCAGAGCAGAGGCAGCCAGATGTCAGAGTTTCAAGGCCAGCCTGGTCTACAAAGCTACACAGAGAAACCCTATCTCAAAAACCGCCCCCCCCCCAAAAAAGGGTGATGCCAGGCAATGGTGGTGTAGCCAAGTGGTGGTGGTGCACACCTTTAATCTCATCACTTGGGAGGCAGAGGCAGGTAAATCTCTGAGTTTGAGGCAACCTGGTCTAAAAAGTGAGTTCCAGGACAGCTGGGGCTACAGACAGAAACCATGTCTCAAAAAAAAAGTGACAAAATACCCATATCTCACACTAAGGATACTGAGGCAGGAGGATTGCCAGGAGTTCAAGACCAATCTGAAATACACAATGAGTTCAAGGACTGTCTGGAGTATATAGAGATCCTGTCTCAAAAAAATAAAAAAATAAAAAATAAATAAATAAAACAATGTATTGTATGGACCAGCAGGCTGCTAGTTAGTCATTGTCTGCTGAGAGATGGGGAATAGTCAGTCCATAATGGGCTGGAGTTAGAAACCATTACCCACTTCTCTTTAGGCAGACTTGTGCAGCCCAAGACTGTAACTGGTTCCTAGCCATGTTACTGGCCACCCTAGGGTTCTACAGTATGGTAGGTGTGGGAGCTGTGCCACTGTTCCACCACTACACACTGACGGTTGTCTGTTCAATAAGTCATTACTCAGCCTGCACCTTGGTTCTGTGGCCTCCTCTCTTTCCTCTCCATCACACCTAGCATCTGCTTCAGTGGTATTTGTGATTTATGTTCCAGATTTTGGGGTGGGATATGTCCCGTTTTTTAGTATTATAGCAAACTTTATTAGCCTTCTCAATTACCTGAAGAACCTCTGCTGTTAAACACACACACACTCAAGGATGGGGGAAGATACAAGGGAAGGTAGAAGTAGAAAATAGAGGAAATTGACTGTCAACACCTGTTCTCCCTAGAGCACCCAAGTTCTGGCCTACTGCAAGCCTCTATCATCAGCTGCTATATCATGTTTCTGACCTTCTCTGCACTGTCCAGCAGTCCCCCAGAGACAAGTGAGGACCCAAGTGCTGAAGACTTTTTCTGTTACCGATAAATACCCAGCTTTGTTCTTAACCCCTTTCTCCTGGCCCCTCAGCAGTAACCTTTCAAGGACAGAATCAGACCTTGTGCCTGCCTGGCAAGAATAAAATGGAACCACAAATACCGGATACCTCAGTAGCAGTGTTGAGTGCTGGCACCATGTATGCTTGTGTGCTTTTTGCTTGGTATGTAAAGGTGTCAAAGGGAAGTGTGAGACGATGCCCAGGTCTCAGTGAAGGAGAATGTCCAGGGCTGTGGTTATTTAAACTGTAGAGCAAGACCAGAACCAGAAAAGCTCCCCACGAACAGGGACAATTTCTAAGAATAGCACTTTGTCAGATGATCTGTATGAGATGATGGGGGCAGGGGAGAGTATCTTGAGTTTAAAATTTGCAGACTTTATGGGCCTCTGAGAACTCAATACCCCCCAGAAGGATACCACCACGGACTAGTTGGCAGTAAATGCCCCTAATCCTTCTTACTTGGTCCAAAGTTAAAAACTTCCTTTCCCAGCAATGAGACTTCCTACCTGGTTGAGTTATGTGGATCATCAAGGTTTACAATTATGAGTTCCAGGTGAGCATCAAGAGCTCAATAACCCCAACATCCCTCCCCCAAACACAGAGACACACATCCTACTAACCTCTACCCAGAATGCTCAGGTTCTAGCTATTTCCTTTTATTAAGTACCCACAATGTGCTTGGCACTGTGCTAGATACATAATCTCATTTAATTTAATCCTCACAACAACCCTGTGAGGTAGGTATTTGCTCCATTTCACAAATGGAGGAATTGAGGCACAAAAGATTAAACATCTTACCAAACTTTGCATAGCCACTTATATGCTGGAGCAAGAATTTGAAGCCAGGTGTGCCTCCACTTCTTACACCCAATCTTTTCAAAGGGAAAATTTTCTAAATTAGTACCCTCACATTGTCTTGAAGCCATTTCAAAACAGGTTGCTTTGTTTCTGCTACCTCCAAACAGTGGAAACAGGGGAGGGTGAGTCAAGTGAGCAATCTAGGGAACGGTTGCTGCCTGTGAAGTGCCACAGAGCCCCACAAGCTGCTGAGAGGAGGAGCTTCTGCAACCCTGCCTCCCAGTAGCACCCCTCTCTCTCTCCCCAGGGCAAAGCAGCACAGCCAGGCCAGCTGGCCCAGAGACCCCACCAGCGGCTCAGGCGCAAAGGCAGCATCTTCCCTACAGCTACTCTGCCTTCCACTTCACCTCCATCCTTGTTTCGCTCTATGTCATGGTCACCCTTACCAATGGGTTCAGGTAGGATGAAAGCAGACATAAGACACTCTCCTGAAAACCTAGCTATTTTAAGGAAAACTTATGGTTATGGGGGAAGCAGGGCAGCCCAAAAGCTAAGGCCCTGCAGAATCTCTAATCAGCCTTTGGTTTCACAGCTATGAGGAAGCAGAACTGGAGAAGACCTTCCCTAAAGGTAGCCGGGCTACCTTCTGGGTCAAAGTTGCCTCATGCTGGGCATGTGTCCTCCACTATCTGGGGTTGCTCCTGGCACCACTCTGTAGACTTCCCACTCAGAATCACCACGACCCCAAGGTGACAACACTGCCGTCTCATCAGTACTGCTCCCCATCTATGTGAACAAACTGAGGTACCCTTTACATTATACTCCTAATCTTAGCTCCATGAATCATCTAGCTGAGCTCAGTACCTCAAAGACAAATGAGTAGTTACACCTAGGCTCAATACTCCATCTAAGTATCTAAATTGGAAGTGGCCAAACACACCCTAGTTTCTTGATTCAGTAAAACTAGTGTCTTCATTTAAGCTCAAGAGTCTAACTCCCAAATCAGTAAACTCAGAAGCTTTAGCTGATCCTAGCAGTGTGGCACCAGCCCCTTCCTAGCTCCAGAGCTGGAGATAAGGGGCAGGGAAAGACCAACAGAGACTGAAGATTTGGGTTTGCCCTTGGCAATCAAAAGAAAACAAGTGGTCCAGCCCTGGGCACAGGGATGTAAGAAGCCCAGAACCACAAAACAAACCAGGGCATAGAAGAATGGAGCAGAGGCTACCACGGGTTTTAATCCCGATCTTGAGGTCAAAGAAACTGGAAGACAAAAAAATACCTTCGTTCCATGAGGAAAGACAGAAGAGAATGTGAGCACTTGAGAGCAGCTGACCACCGGAAGTTGGTGAGCAGATTTTTCCCCCCCTTTGGCCAACTTTCAAGCAAAGAATGAGGAAGAGACATAAACTTAGATCCTTCCCCTCTTATAGCCCTCAATACCATCATGGAGACAGTGTTCAAGGTCTGAGTGGGGCATAAAAATCACAGAAAAGAAGTCTCTATAGTTCTTATAGGATTCCTCTACCACAGAACTGGAGTGCTTTTCTGGTTGCCATAGTAAAATAGGCTTCTTCTGTGATGTTCCCTTATGAAGTCTACAAATCTCTTAGGTGCTAAAAGAACTCTCCCCTTTTAATGGGAAAGGGCAGTCACTCCTCCATCCCCATCCCCCCAATCCCCAGTCAAACCAGGCGCTCAAGGAATTACAAAGCTACTTTTAATACTTTGGGGTGTGCCCCACAGGAATAAAAAACACTGGGAAGGGGTAACCCCCTCACCCCCAGGTGTGGCCCAGGGGGAGAGAGGCTACCTGAGGGGAAGGAAGCACAAAAGGAACCCGCTGCAGACTCAGGGCAAAGGGAATGCCATCGGTGCTGGGACCTGTGAGCGCTACAGGAAGAAACTCGAGCATGGTGGGACTGGCTCCAGGCACACAGGCGTAGGGCAAGAGGGTTGGACACGAAGCCACAAAGCTACTTGGGTTCCTCCTTCTTCTCGTTTGCCTTTTTCTGCTTCTGCTGCATGATCTCCGAGTCCCTGGGGGTAGAGATGATGGGGCACTGGGAGGTACCAGAGGGCAAAAAGGACAAGATGCAGGGGGATGAAGGGTACAGAGGATAAGATGGACGTGGATGGGACAAAGTTCAGCATATGGCTGCTATATTCCCACCCTAGGAGAACAAGAGGAATAGAGCTAAGGCTCAAAAGGCAATCAGTCTCCATCTGGATGTTGCCCAAGGGGTCAGAAGTCTGGCCACTCAGGCCCAAGGCTCTCTATTCTGTACTGAGCACCACACCCAACAACACTAGTGAGAAAGTCGGGAGAAGGGAGGAGATACAAGCAGCAAGGAAGGCTAAAAGTACTAGGCTGTCAAAACAACTGTACTTGATACGTGAAGCTCGCTGCCCTTGCCCTTAAGGTCACAACCCCGGGCACTCAGAAATCAGTCTGTGGACAGGGACCCGCCCCAGTCCCTTCCTGTACAGCTGTGACCTAACAATTTGGAATGGGGAGGAAATAAAACCCTAGAGGAAGCAATGCACTCTTCCCCTCACACCTAGTCCAGTCTCGAGCCCTGAAATAGTTCTCTTTCCTGGTACACCCCCTCGGTCTAACCCAGGTCTTCCCGTCCCGTCCTAACCCGTCCCGTCCCGTCCTTTCCCCTCCCTGGGGCTACCTCTGCTTGCGGGCGGCAGCAGAAAGCCCATCATCTCGGCGCTTTCCCTTAACGGAGTCGCTCTGCTTCTTCATGTTCTTCTGGCGGGCGAGCTCTCGCTGGTTACCGCCTAAGGAGAGAGGAAGGCAGAAAGTCAAGAGATGC